CAACCCTGGCCCCATTTCTGCCTCCGACACAGAGCCCTCGTCAGAGCCTTCCCCAGACTCCAGGACTGGCCCATGTTCCTCCCCAACCTACTCACTGTCTGAGTCTGCCACTGTCTGAGCTCCACTGGCCGCTGGCCGGCCACAATATTTGTGCACCGGATCTCCCCAGTAGACACCCACAAAAATACCTCCGTGCAGATACCCAATATGTACATGAGTGAAGCCTACATGGTACATACTTCCCACTGCCTATGGAAAGATGGTCCTTCCAACCATCTTTCCATAACATCAGAGGTGCAATTTTAAAATATACGCTCAGAAGATCATGTTGCAATGCCTAATATGATGCCGTGTATTCACTGTGGGGTCCTTGGTGCTCTCGGAGCTCGGTTGTTTTCTTGCAGAGGTTTCATTACCCAGCTAGGGAACATCTTCAGTTTCATAACCCAACTGTTCAACTAGTTGAATAATGAAAGGTCTGCCAGAAGACAACCAAACTCCGAGAGCATCAAGGACTCCACAGTTCAGCCCTGAGCTACAAATATTCTCTTCTACTGGCATGTATTCAGCAGTTCTTTCAAGTGCCTGACTGTCTCCTTCTTCCCTTGTTCTTTTTTAGGGCTTCCTCTATGACCTTGACAAGGTAAGACACGCTGGGAAGGAAGCGGAGAACCCAAGGGACTCTGTTAGGCAGGACAGGATTGCCCCCTCTTGCATCTCGTCTGTTTCTGAGCACAAAATGTTGTCCCACCTGATCTTGGATCTGTCTCCCCTCCCTCTGCCTTTGCCAAGTGATCTTGCTGACGTTGGTTCAGTTCATTGATTCAGTGGAAACCCTGCACCCTCCGCCCTTCTTCCTTCCTTCCTTCCCTCTCCTCCCTCTAGGATTTGCTGCCTCAAATCTTTTGCTTCCTCGAAGCAACCTCAGAGGATTAAAAGAGCTAAGATGTAGGAATTTGCTCCTCTCTCCTGGAATCAGTAACTGAAGGAGGGCCAGGGTAACTCCGCTAAACTAAGTCATGCAACTTCCTTGTGTTTGGGCAGTAAATAAGGAGGAAGAGGCGTGTGACTTCAGGATGCTGCACACTGCCATTATCGTAGGGCACCACGCTCTACAGTCAGACACGACTGGACCAGTGGTGGGTTTCAAAAATTGTTCGAACCTACTCTGTGGGTGTGGCCTCCTTTGTGGGAGTGGCTTGCCGCCCATGTGACCGGATG